CAGTTTGATAAACACTCAATGTGGAGCCCGAAACGTCGTCCCCAAATCAAACAGAAAGCATGAGTATAACTATTCAACAGTGTTCGAAACATCTCTTCTTTTACGTGTTACACAACCTTAAATACAGTTTAATAAACCCCCCAATGTGGAGCCCGAAACGTCGTCCCCAAATCAAACAGAAAGCATGAGCATAACTATTCAACAGTGTTTGGAACATCTCTTCTTTTACGTGTTACACAACCTTAAATACAGTTTAATAAACACTCAATGTGGAGCCCGAAACGTCGTCCCCAAATCAAACAGAAAGCATGAGCATAACTATTCAACAGTGTTTGGAACATCTCTTATTTTCGTGTATAGATGTTAGGTTCTACGTACATTACTTAATTACATTAAGTTTTGTTTTCCCACGTGTCTTTAGTCTTTCTCTGTTGTTTTAAATCTCCATGGAAGCTTCTTTGTTTTTAAGCGTTTATTCACCAATGTAAATTATTTTTAAATTACTTTTCCTCTTTCCTCAAAAATAAACTCTTCGAGGAGGAAAATTAAATAAAAATATATGACATCATTAATAAGGAAGAAACTAGAAATAAATAAATCAGAAAAAAAAGGTCCTTGAGGTGTTACAGGTAACTTTACAAATTAACAACACCAAAACCCGGGGTTCGATTTACTGTGGTGGACAGAGAACAAATAGCTCATTGTGTAGCTTTGTTCTACAACATGACAACAATAATAACATAAATTCCAAAACTCTACGCATGTGTTACAAAATGATAATAAAAGGATAGTCGTAAATGTCAAAGTTTTAATCTACGAAATGAAAAATCGTAGTAAGTGGTTAAAAAGATCGGTTGTCATGACGATATTATGTGTGAACCATTAATGGTCGCTGCAGTCACAGCTTCATTTAACTTTTAGTTTACACACAAGAATGCCATTTTAACAAATTATATTGGTTCTTACCAGATAGACCAACAAATGTTTCTATAAGGAGACCTTTTGACGTGTGTGTAAAATACAAACAAAAACATAAAAAATAAAACCTTCAATTATAATTGAATAACATCTGTTGTATATCTTTTCTAAATAATAACAAAAATCTGGACCGTACGAAGGATTTTCAAAAGGGGGGGGGGAGGAGATGCGACTTTCTCAGGGAATCCGTTATTTATATCAACAGCCCTCATTTCAATTTGCTATCAACGGCCCTCTTATCCATTATTTACTATCAACGGTCCTCTTCTCCATTATTTACTATCAACGGTCCTCTTATCCTTTTACTATCAACGTCCCTTTTGCCCATTTACTATCAACAGCTCTTTTATCAATTTACTATCAACGGTCCTCTTCTCCATTATTTACTATCAACGGTCATCTTATCCATTATTTACTATCAACGGTCCTCTTCTCCATTATTTACTATCAACGGTCCTCTTATCCTTTTACTATCAACGGCCCTCTTGCCCTTTTACTATCAACGGCCCTTTTGCCCATTTACTATCAACAGCTCTTTTATCAATTTACTATCAACGGTCCTCTTCTCCATTATTTACTATCAACGGTCATCTTATCCATTATTTACTATCAACGGTCCTCTTCTCCATTATTTACTATCAACGGTCCTCTTATCCTTTTACTATCAACGGCCCTTTTGCCCATTTACTATCAACGGTCCTCTTCTCCATTATTTACTATCAACGGTCATCTTATCCTTTTACTATCAACGGCCCTTTTGCCCATTTACTATCAACGGTCCTCTTCTCCATTATTTACTATCAACGGTCCTCTTATCCTTTTACTATCAACGGCCCTTTTGCCCATTTACTATCAACGGTCCTCTTCTCCATTATTTACT